AAAGGGGTGTTAAGAATTGATATTATTAATTCATCACTCTCCACTTCATCACTCCAACTCACCAATATTTTACCAACACTCCAGCCTTGCTGTCATCATTGTTGCATTGCTGATTGTTGGACCACCATATTGTTATAGAAATGTTCTAACATAATCCTTGAATTAAGGAACCACCTAACATCTATATATTCTAGATCCTTCTTGTATCAATAGCTATGTATTATATATTTGTAATCATCTCAATCAATTGTAAACTGGTTCAGTAAATTATCTTCTCCCTTTATCCACATTTCAACTTAATGTAACAGAGGGCTGTTAGATGTATCTAACTTAACAGTAGGGTAAAAATAATTAAGCTTAACTGATTTAACCCACCCTCTCTTCTAATTACTAGTTGATTATACATTATGAGATTATCCTTCCTTGATGAGAGGAAGAAGCTACATGAATGATAAAATTGGGTCTGTAGTCTGTCGCACAAAATAAGGGCTAGTACCTTTATAATATTTTTGAAACTAATGCTGATCAATGTGTTAGAAAGTACTCAAATCAAAGGGAGTTGAAGAAACTTTAAGGGTCTTCGTGAATATAATTGGAATTGGTTTTGCCAACAAATATTGGTTTGCAGATATTTTAAGGAAAATTTAGCGAAATGCTGAAAATCTGGAACAATGGTAGTGTAACGAAAAAGGAATTGGAAAAAATGTTGAACTAAAGATTTGTAATTAAAAAATCCTTATCCATTGGTAAAAACAAAGAACAAGAGAACATCGACAATTTAGGAGACGTGGAAATAATTGTTGATTGAAAACCTGGGAACTGGTCCACTGGATACAGGAATTTGACTCTTCTTGGAGTAGAACTTGGTGCAATATTTAAATTTCAGCAACATAGAAATTTGTAATCTTCCCTATGTGATGAATTGGAAGAGCATCATAGTATGATACAAGACAAAAATGGGATATATAAACTCCCTTCCATGGAAAAATCTTAAAAATCAAATGGCACACACTTACCTAACAAAAGGAGCGGAGATTTTTATTCAGTATCAATAATAGGATTATATCATTAGTATTTATACTAACTCTTGCTCAAGTCCATACACAACTTTAGGGTCCGACGAGAAAAATACACAATTGTACCGTACTACGGGCGTTGCCCCCACACCCCAACTTATTCAATGTCCCCGACAAACAAACAATGAATTAAACCCACAATTTGATCCAGTAAATTTGTGTTCCACTCTATATAAGTCACATATACAACACCTCCTATAGTATATCTCTCTTTTTCGAGTGAGATTCTCTCTTTAGCATTTTGTATTAATACCGGAGTTCTAAATGTGGCAAATATGTAATAAATTACACCAACTAAATCCGAACACTCCCCATTGTTATGATGAGGTCATGTCGTTTGTTTAGTTAAAATACATTGTACAATGTTAAAATTTGAGTGTGACTCGAATTCCTTATTTGAAGTATTGAAGAATTCTAATTGTAGTGATCATTAAGAAGAATTCAAGTTTGTAATGTTAATGGAGTCCTATATCATGTTGAAGTT